CATAAGTATACCCGTTAAACGTCTCGCATTGTCACCGTACTTTTTCATGATATCAACTTCTTTTTCGTCTCTTAGCTCATTACAGATATGCTGAAGCTGCTCCAATGACCATTTTATCTATTATATTAAAAGTAATTTTCAACACTGATCTGATTATAAATTTTATAAAAAAAGCTTGCGTATACAAACAATTTATCAGACACACTTGTTAGACAAGTTTAAAAGACTAACTCACAGTTTGTCTGTTACCTCGGAAAGCGATGTATTCGATCACGTACATAGAAAAAAACAATGCGACAGAGAAAACCTTAACGACAAGATTGACAGTGCAATCTTCAGAAACAAATATTGCAAACTATAATTAATAATTTTTATTAAATAACATTAGACATTAGAGAAACTACTTCCTCATTCAATTAAGTCAAATAAAAAATATGACATAATTAATTGCTTTAACATACGTAATATATGGTGCAACAAGCAAATTTTAATTATTACAGTATAATATACGTATTCAATGTAATTTACTTGTACTCATATATTATCAATGAAAATATAATACAATTACATTTTTAGAAATGATATAGTGTAAATAATTACTACACTATATGGATACGATTGGAAATATGGATACCTACTTGATACACGACACAGCTCACAAGCATACCAAAACAAAAGATTATTTGAAATTTAGCTAATTTCGAACGCTGATACGGCCATAAGCCAACCGAGAGTAAAAAAATTCGATTCAAGTTGAAATTCCGAGACATAATGCAGTACATCACTCTGCGAGCAACCTGTCGTGTTTGACTGCGAAAAAAGTCGGGTGAAGAATAACGGTATCCCCTCCCTGTAATCGAATCAATAAAGTGTCTTAGAATTTTTTTTTATTCGATATAAATTTTGTATCACTTAGTTCAGCACAAATGTAATGAGGTGATAGATAAATTGCCATCGTGAGATCGGAACAGTCGCAGTTTGATGTTTTAGTTCAGGGGAAGAAAAAACAAACAATTAAGCGATCGATTTGACGCCGAGAAAAGTTCAACCGATGCTTATTTTCTGTAAAAAAAAACCTCTCCGCATTACTTTCCGATTAAAGCTCGCGTAAACGCAGTTGTTCTTTCGCATCGTGGCAGCATCATGTCCTTCACTCCATCTTGTACATCCGCGCGATGCATTTCTTCTTTAAGCGTAACATCAATTCATCTACCTCACGTGCGTTGTCGTATCGGCTATATAAAAAAGTATAATAAAATACAAAATACTAAAGGAAATGTATTTCTTCGAGCTCTTTACACATGCAATACTATACAGGGCTCGTCATGCAATTGTTCTGTTGAAGATAGAAAAAAATGATTCAGGCAAAAATTAAATTGTAGTATAATGTTTATTTTTCTATTGACTAATTTTCCCTTTGTAAGTGTAATGATGCGAGGATGCGAGGAAAGTGGAAATAATGAGAATCAATTAATTCAAAGAAAATACGTTGTTGGTTTTAAAAAAATATGTAACTGCATATTAAATCAATTGATTCAAAGAAAATACGTAGTTGGTGTAAAAAAAATATGTAACTGCACATTAAAAATTGCAGAATGTTCTTATACTGTGCGCTAATCTTGGCTAATATTATGCTGCGTAACTATGTGCTTTATTTGGCAATAGATTTATTTGATTATTCTGTGCATGAAAATATTAAGGTATACGGTTATTAAAAAATTGTTTGTTTACAAAATATTTTATATATCATATCAAAATATGCTAAAATGTTAAAAAATATTTCGTAAAAATATTTCTTTCTCGAGCACCTTATCCTAATACTTTCATGTATTTCTTCTGAACATTTTAGAATGTTCACAAAAATTTATTATGCAAAAAATATGATTAAAAATATTTTACAAAAAAATGTAAATGCATTTTTCCAGTGCTGACTTGCATCTATGGAAAAAATTAAGTCAAAAATATATTATTGCACCATTCAATCTATATCATTTCCATCTTCAACGGAACAGATGTTAAAAACCGTCCCAATTGCGTGACACTTCCTGTACACACTGTTATTTAAAAACAGTTCGCCGAAACAAACATACTGTACCTATGTATCTTATTTAACATGTGTGTGCTTGCGTGTACATAACACGCACGGATGTACGTGTAATTACATGTTTACCTATCGTGCACCCCTTGTAATCATGTGTAGGATTTGCCTCAATGCAAAAAATACATATGGGGGAAATGTTATCAAGAAGTAAGTAACCATTAACTATCTAAAAAATATAATAACAATCAAAGTAACGATTGTTAATGACATATGTATACAGGGTGTCCCGAAATTTGCAAATTAAAATATCATAGCCAGCGTCTTCGAAAAAAGTTATTTGTAAATTTTTATTTTAAGCAATAGTTTTTTAGATATAAAAATTTAAGTTAAGCCAATTATAGATTAGTACTTGCGTAAAGTGCGCGACCACTAAACTATCGATGCTCTCACGGACATGTTTCCATTTAATCATAATATGTATATAATTGGCTAACTTTAACCTCTTATATTTATATCTCAAAAACTACTGCTTAAATTAAAAATTTACAAATAACTTTTTTACTTAATTTTTCGAAGAATTTCTTGCTATAATATTTTGATTCACGAATTTCGGGACACCCTGTATATTATTTTCTTCACGTATACATATAAACCTCGTGTAAATGACAACCAATTTCTACAAATGAGAGAAAAACATTTGACGTCTTTTTAATATACATAGATTTAATATAAAACTCACTTACACTTTACTTTCCTTACAAACTCACCTACTATAGCGTATAAATGCTATACATTGTACATGAATTAGGAAAAGAAGATCTATTGCATAGAACGCACAACAGTAAAGTAGGATATCGATGCCTTCGTTAGCTAGAATAAAAAATATACAAATTTTATGTCGTGTTATGTATCGATAAAACACGCGCGAGTATTATATAAGACACGTAATAATTTTTTTTACCGTGGCAAAAAATTCTAGAGACAACGTAAACAGTAAACCAAAAGTAAGGGTGATAGTTTTGCTACCCCTTTGCAATAGGAACAATAACAGTTTCTGTACGTTGAATGGCGCTAGGTACCATTGAACGTTGTACCTACAAAATAAGGACGAGTCGATAACTGGAGAGGTAGTAGCAATCTTCATCTGTTACTTATGAATTATCTTAAGACGATACTGAAGATAAATCTGTTTTACCGATTAAACGCGATTATTTTCAGATCCTTTTTATTGATTTTTTTATTGATTTCACAAAATTATAAATCCTTTTCCACAATTAAAGTAATTAAAGTATTGACAAAAACACAATGCGCATGTAACAATTTCATGCAAAAAAAAGTTAAAAAAATTAGTCGGCTTCTGCAGTCGACTCGTGACAACATGTGCTGCGTATAAAAGCTTTAGACTTTGCACGTACATATAAAACAAACTCCATCCGCACTCGGGATTACATGAAAGAATAGTAAGGGAAAAGGGGGCAAATAATGTCACTTTAAATTTCTCCTCTTTCCCGCGTTTATTTTACCATTACTCGTTAATAGAAAGACAGTTCTCAAGCATCTAACCATCTTCTGAAAAAGCAGTAAAAATCAAAAGCCAAATATAGCTA